GGGGGGGTGGGCGACAAGAGATACTGAAGAGAGTTTCCTCCACTTCTAGCACTGCTACCTTTGAAATTACGATTCGGCCTTCTAACGGCCATAATTTATTATTCGAAAGAAGGAATCATCGACAGCCTAGTCAGGTTGCTTCTGGAATATGCCTCCATCTCTCAGCGATTGCCGAATACGGGAGGGGAGTTTTGATTTTTGACGAAAAAAAAAATGGTGCTGTGGAGTTTTTCTTTTCAAAAGAGATGTATTATTAAGCCAGAATGGGGGTTGGTTTAGCGATTTTCATTTACAGATACAACAGGATCCTCGTCCTCCTCCTCAGCTAGAACAAGACGTCGGAGGACAGCAATGGACACGTCAACTGATAACGATTTTGTAACGGCGCGTATATCCGAACTGTCAAATGGTAGCAGTGATCGGTCATATCGTGGGCACAGTGATAGTGATAGTGATTTGGATAATGATTTCGACACAAATATACCGGTAACACATCGTGAACTTGAGGTAATCATTGTTCTTTTCCGCGAATTGTTTCATTATTATTAATTTTCGATATTCGCCTATGCAGGCACGCAAGAAAATGGGCTACATGTTCCGTCAGAACTTCAAATTTCACTTTGGGATAGCTAGTCCCCGAACAAAATAAACGAAATGAAATTCAAATTTTGCGCCTGGATTCCTGGAGCGTAGACTTTCGTCTTCGTTCCTCTTCTGCCAGTTCCTTTTTCACAGCCAAAATGCAATTCCGGACTTGTTGAGAGCGTCAAAAAAATTGACCAGTACCAATACAGCAGTGGTTACAGGTCACAACAGGTCCGCCAAATATTGAACCGATTCCGATCATTGTCCAACCAGCGCCGCCAGCTCCAGTAACGGAGCCTCAACTTTGGGTTATTAAACCACTTTGTTTAATACATGCAAAAGGAACAATTTACGCAGCGCTAAAACGATAATAGGACTTTTAGTAATTTAAAAGTAACGAAAGCAGGATGAGGCCTGATCCTCCTGCACAAGTCGACAACAAAAAAAATGTGAAACGACTCAGCGTCGTCTATACACCCATCCTTCCAGGAACGCAGTAACAACCCCCAAGCACGTTTAGGCCTCGCGTACGACTGCGTGAAAGTTTTGGCGGGAAAGTCGCTAACTCGAGAACCAGACAAGCTGGGAGACTGAAATTTTAAAGGGGATCTTCCCAACCCGCATACAGCTTAAATTAAGCAGCAAAAAGCAAAAAGATTTGGGTCATCTAGTCATAAAAATGTCCAGATCTGATGCAGAGTTTTCTTTTCTGCACATGCGGCATTCACGATGTGTTATTTCAAGTTCGAGAAATTTCCATTTTTCGGCATCACGTAGGCGAATTCTTTTCCAAATTCATTCGAATAATACCAATGTTCAGCTTCGCTGTTATCTGTTTTGCATCGATACTTTGGGCGCAGCTGCAGCTACCTCAGCTTCGCGAAGTTTTAAGTCCTGTTTTCATCCGTTGTTATCGCTTCAAAAGCTGCTTGATGATGTTTTTTTTCTCTTTCATGTGGCTACAACTTATTTTTCGATCACGATCTTGCTGTTGGGGATCAAAAATGACAAGCTTATTTTCAGGATTCGCGACAGGACAGCGTACCTTTAGTGCCTTCCGAATTTACGTCAATTGATGAAGCAATGCACAATTTTGTAACTGTTTTTGAAGCTAGGTAAGCATCACATCACATTGTTTGGAGGAATCGACTAAATTTTATTGATGAAAGTGTCGATGTGCCGGTGACGATAGACATTTTCGACCTGGAAGAAGTTGACAGTTACTAGTAAAAGTAAATGCATGGTACATTCTCGAACTGCTCATTACACATCGAGAGTGGCGGATTTTCGCAATTTAGCAGCAATTTTATGCAAATTTCACAGCATCGCCAGTGACTTGAAAATGTCAGGTTTTTTGACGACCATACCCACTTTTTCACTGCCATTGTGTTGAAAACATTGACGGACGAGTGTGGAAAGCAGTTACTTGTCAAAACAGAGCAGCTGCTGCTACTGGCTGTGATGGAGAAAACACTGAAGCGAAGGATGTTTGGAGTGCCTCTTTGTGGTCGCTAAAGTATCGGTTGTCGTGCACGAAATGCTAAAATCGCTTTATATCATGATAATTTGACTAGTTTCCTCTTATTTTGTACCAAAGAAAGAAATTGTATTCATTTTCAGGTATGGTAACAATCATCCGCACTTCTTTTCGGGTTCATTACAAGAAGCAGTACGCGAAGCATTCGAGGCACCAGGGCGAGAAGCTGCGGAACGGCGTCCACTCGCTGTTTATCTTCACAGTGACCATTCTGTTGCGTGCAATATTTTTGCAAAAAATGTTGGTATTATTCTACTTTTTAATAGTGATTTTTGATAATTCGTTTTTTGAGAATTTTTAAGAAAATGAAAGAATGAAAGACAGAAAATTAGATAAGAAATTGGTGTCGGTGCAAGCCAGAAACTTGAAATCGCGACCAATTTGGCTGCAAAAAACCACCCCTCGAAGAAA